TAATAAGATACAAAAACCCCAGGTGTGATTTTTTACAATAATCAAGTTAACAATTTAAATAATTTATCAATCATAAAATTGTTACACAAAGATTGTTAAATTTGAAGCAAATTTAAATCCATAAACTGAAGAATCAGTCGATAAGAATAACGGGAACCGAAATTGTATGATCGTATGATGCCAAAAATGACCGACCTTCACAGTTTTGTATATTGCGTCGGCCTGTAGCTATGGAAATATCATGCAGGATGGTTCACATGTCCAAATGAGACAAAAAAATATTTTAATATTATTTAAGGTCCTCTTGATAAACGTCTGTTACAACATTGGTAAGATGTATCAGTACAAAAGTACAATGAGGTTTTAGCTGTTCTACTAGAAAATAAGAGCCAAAATGATAGCGACATAATGTAAATAAAAAAATCGATAAGATATCAAGGCGCCAGTTGCGGTAATAGTTGCGATTTTTTTTGCATACATTGCCAAGATAAGGTATGCTGTTGACTATTTCGATAAAACGATTTTTTGTTTGACCCTGTTTAGATTAAATAATTTATATATTTTAGGCAATAATAAAGATTAAACTGTTTGAATTGTGCAAAATTGGTACCAAATAGTCAAATATTACTTTGTTTATTTAGAATTTTAAAAATAAGAATAACTACACTAGTATAATAGGCTTACTGATGTATGTAATTGTAGTAACATTGTAGATTACGTACACTAGTCAAAGACATCCAATATCTACCTTCTTCTTCGTTACGTTCAGTCCTTCAATTTTTCCTACGATGATATTGTGCAGAAGATCCTCCTTTTCGTTGAGTTTGATACGCACTCTCTGCAGTAGTTTTTCAATGTGTAATAAGGAGATAATCTTCAGATCGTATATGCACTCCTTTCTGAGAGTTAATTATTCATACTTTATACTTCAAATGCATCATTTAATCAAGTCTAAGCTTTGTTTTAGATTGGCAGTAAAGTTCTATTATTGTCTATTTATGGAATGGAAAAGTTGGCTTGTACGTTCTATCAATATTTCCTAAATAGTATTTGCTCATCCCCTAAGTGCTATTAATCTTTGATCAATCAAGTTTGCTGTTAATTTCCTCAAACGTGTCGGAGTTACGTATCCTGCACTATACCTTCAGTTTTCTGTGCTCTCAGTTGTTCAGTTTGACGCAGCACCATAATCACTGGTCTTCAGAGACGACTTATATGGTACGTCCAGTCCTCAGTTCATCATAGTTAACGCACTTGCTATCTGAACTGGACTTCTCTATACTCATTTGGTATACCCAGACCTCAGTGTTTATTGCTGACAAAAAATAATTTGGAGCCTAGACTTTTCATTGGAATGCAATTCAACCTCTCCTCGTCCGTTAACTCAACAAATCGTCTTTTGATGCTACCTCCCATTATCGGTGACAGCGACGAGTCAAAACAAAATGATGACATTAATTATTTATTGGATTCCACAATTGTGGACTATTATTTTAAAGAAACCAATGATCCTGATTTGGATAAAGAGCCAACTTCTTGCTCTGATAAGAACCCATCAGATACGAATGCAACGCCTGCAGAAATGGAAACTGTACCCATAAATTATGCATTCCAAACATTAAGTAATTCTGATATAACTAATACCAATTAGATCGAGGCTAAATCTTAGAAGTTCACCGACATCGAGGTTCAGGAATTTATCACGTGATCTATATTCAAAACCATATGAAGAGATGATGGAAGGTCGAATTACCTGCCATACGGTGAATCTGCCGACGAAACCTTCATTTATTTCATTGGTAATTTCTAATTGACTACTGCTTAATCTGCTTTTCCGCCATATTTTTTATAACGTGTTTCCCTGTATTTTCTTTTTAAACTGTGAGATCAACACTGGGCAGGGAGTGTGTGGGGATCAAGCAGACTAGTCATTTGGAGATAGAGAAAACAATTGGACTTGTCATTTATATTTTTCATATCAGAATATTTTTATTATGAATAAATTTTATATATTTTTGTTATATGTTGGGAGTTTATAATTTAATATATTGTCATAATCATTACGACTCCCACAATGTAACTAAAATTTAAGAATCCGCACAATAAATTTTTGTTCGGTTATTCGCAAGAATCAATTTAATTTTGAAATTTAGGTTTTTGCAATTTGTTGCAAATAATTAAAATGATTATCTTAGAGTTCAATTGTATAAAAATCAACTTATAGTTTAACAATAGTCAATAAAAATATTCAGTCAAGCCCAAAAAAAGATTCTTGAAAGGTCCTAAACGGCTAAACAACCATAGGCATTTTAAAATTTTCCAAAACTGTTAATAACATAAAAATTTCCAATAAAGTTCTAGATTTTAATTAACTAAAGCAGTAGTAAAACTAGAAGATTATTGTAACACAGATAATGAGTAACAGACGGTTTTCTGACAAAAATTATTTCCAATGAAATACGTGACCACCGAAACGACATTTGGACAAAAAGCCTCGATAACATAAATACTGACCCACACAAAGTTTGGCAAACCGCAAAAGGACTGACGCTGAAACCAACAACCATACCTCCACTTAAATTAACTGACAACAATTACGCTACGACACCAGCAGACACGGCGGAGATATTGGCAAAAAACTTTGAAGACATACATAAACAAAATGCTAATATGTCGTAATATAAGTAAGGTAGCCGATAAGTTACTACACAAATGACTGAACAAGCACATAAGACACAACAAAATGATACCTGACACACAATATGGTTTTAAAGAACGACACTCCACACTATACCCACTAACACAACTCATAGAAAACACAGTTCTCAATTTTAACAGACGAAACCATACCGGATTGGTGTTACTCGGCTTTGAGAAGGCGTTCGACACCATCTGGATGGACGGACTTATTTACAAACTAATCCAACTCAACTTTCCATTACAAGAATATCACACTCATATCTCTCAAACCGCAACTTCACCGTACCGTACAAGTGAACAACGGACTTTCAACGGTTAAACAACTGACGGCGGGAGTACTGCAAGGCGCGATCCTGGGACTGCAACTGTTTAACGTCTACATCCACGACATCCCCATCCCCACTGACACCAGCACAACACAACTCATAGAAAACACAGTTCTCAATTTAACAGACGAACCATACCGGATTGGTGTTACTCGGCTTTGAGAAGGCGTTCGACACCATCTGGATGGACGGACTTATTTACAAACTAATCCAACTCAACTTTCCATTACAAGAATATCACACTCATATCTCTCAAACCGCAACTTCACCGTACCGTACAAGTGAACAACGGACTTTCAACGGTTAAACAACTGACGGCGGGAGTACTGCAAGGCGCGATCCTGGGACTGCAACTGTTTAACGTCTACATCCACGACATCCCCACTGACACCAGCACAACTTTACTGACATTTGCTGACGTCACTGCCATGTACAAATCTTCACGATCACCTACACTACTGACTACAAAGATACAGACACACATAGACAAGCTAACCGAATATACTAATAATTGGCAGATCACGATCAATTCGCAAAAGACGGAGGCAATTTTATTTGCAAAAAGCCGAAATGCCACGATTAGACTGACTGACTTGGAAAATTTTAAAGTAATGGGCCATGAAGTTGAGTGGTCCAAGGATGTCAAGTACCTTGGTGTGAATTTGGACCATAGACTCAGTTTCACGAAACATATTAACACGAAAATTGGACAGACGTACGAGATGTTAAATCTACTGAGACCTCTCTTGAACCATAACAGCCCGCTGAGCATGAAGAACAGGCGGACAATTTACCTCACACTGATCAGACCTATAGTGACATATGCTGCTCTAACTTACATATTTACTGACAGTACAAAATAAGACACTACGACTAGTACTCAACAAAATAAGCGACCCACTGACTAGGCGTTATTACTCTACAAAATACATACATGAACATGCTAATGTACCGACAATACTCGACCATACAAAGGAGCTCACTGAAAATTTTTACCAGAAATGTGGAGATTACCCTAATACCAGCATCGCGGGTCTCGACCCATAGCAGCGGGTGATATTTGCCTAGTTTTTCCTTCAGAGCGAATAAATCTTTTGGTTTGTTTTTCTTTTTTTGTATAATCATTTATTATTATAAACATTGTTATGTGATTTTTTTAGAGGAAAATTTTCCTTTTCCCCTTTTTTGTCACACAATTTTATCACACCTTTTATATTTAAAATATTTATTATTGTATTGATAGAACACATATGTCCACATTATTGTTTAGGTATGCGTTCTCATTAACTTTATGTAGCGTTAGTTATTGTAATCGTCAAAAAATCGAAAATAATTTTTTTTCATATATAATTTTATTTTACAAGATTAGTTTTTGGCAAAAGCAGGTCCAGCTGTTTCGGAGATTCGGAGCAAAGAGTGCTCAAAAATCGAGTGTTTGAGAAAAGGGAGCATCCGATTTGAATGATCTAAAAAAGATTCAATTAGTAATGACAGGGAGAAGTGGTGATTAGATTTTGGCAAAGGCACGTCCAGTCGTTTTGAAGATAACGAGTTAAATGTGAAAAAAATTGCTGTTTTTGAGAGAACTAAGCATCCAATTTGATGTTTCAAAAAGCTTGGTACTTGTGTTGACGAAACGATTGCTTTCGAAAAAAAATTTTAATTCTCAAAAAATATTATTTTTATATCGAAAATTATTAATTATTATTATTAATTCTAGCTAAAGTTCTAAAGCTCACTTATATACTTCAAATGGATAATTCTAACTTTGCAATTCAGTTCATATAATTCTTATAAATAATAGACAATGTCCTTCATTTTAAATTAGATTGATTAACTTTTATTTAATCACTTTTCCGTAAACATATATAAGTTACTATATATATATATATATATATATATATATATATATATATAATTCTTCTTTAATCTGTGTTTGAAGATCAAGTGATATAATTTAGAATAAAGTAATTCGTGGTAATTGGTGTAGATTTTAAAATTAGAACTATCGACTTAGATGGAAAAACCATAAAATTACAAATTTGGGATACAGCAGGTCAAGAACGGTTTCGAACTATAACTTCATCATATTACCGTGGGGCACATGGAATCATTGTTGTATATGATTGCACAGATCAAGAGTCTTTCGGAAATGTTAAGCAATGGCTCGAAGAAATTGATCGCTGTGCTTGTGATAGTGTAAATAAATTACTTGTAGGCAACAAGAGTGATTTAACTACGAAGAAAGTTGTAGACTACACTACTGCTAAGGAATATGCTGACCAGTTAGGAGTGCCATTTTTGGAAACATCAGCCAAAAATGCAACAAATGTGGAACAAGCATTTATGACAATGGCTGCGGAAATCAAGAACCGAGTCGGTCCACCAAGCAGCTCTGCTGATACCGCAAGCAAAGTTAAGATTGATCAAGGCAGACCAGTCGAGACTAATAAGTCTGGCTGCTGTTGAATAAATGTTCCAATATGCTACTGGTTTGGCCCAATGGACGCCTTGTATTTAAATTACACAATATTAAATTAATACCAAGTAAAATTTAAGTAATATCAAATGAGTTAATATGATGGGTTAAACAGCTACTCTAAGAGATAATAAAATAAGTGAATTTAAGCAAGTATGGACGAACGAAGTTGGCGATAAATTTAAATATTCATAAAACTATATTCCTTACATAATATTTTATAATAAAATTAAATGTATGTTTTTTTCTTTTTGGTATTCCAACATGATTAATATAAATAAATATATGCAATTGTAAGACAAAACATAATCTAGATAATATTAGAAAATCAAAACAATAATTTGATACACCATCATGTTTACGTAATAAAATATAGTGTCATCAGTTTTTTTTTTTTTTTTTTTTTTTTTTTTTATTAACTCTTTTATTTACAACTGTCCAGTATAGGACATTCAGTAAATTTAATGGATTTACAATAGTCCGCCGAAAAGGTACATTGTATACAACTTTGACTTGTTGGAAAAAACAACTCAGTAGTTGTTTTTTCGATATAAAATTTACAATATTTACTTATTAAATAATTTCTTATAAATAATTATTAAGTTATTTCCATTTTTTTTCTCAGGAGAGTTGATTGCTTAAATCCAGTGGCGCTTTTCTTTTCAACCTTCTACGATAGTTCTCTGTTATCAATGAGTTTGCTAATGTATTTGGGTGATTGATTAGCTTGTTTCTATACTTCTGTGCTGTTTTTGTTATTACTTCATTTATGGTAGGTGTATTCGTGTCGGCATGAATTACCAGTTGGTAAAAACATTTAATATTTCTCGAATATTCCATAAACATTTAATATTTCTCGAATATTCCATCACGGCACGGGAAGTTCGAGCAATTTGCTTTGGTACGATGCCATACACCACTAGTTTATATTTAAACTATCTCTACCTCCCCTGACCATAAAAAATATTTGTGAAATTGACATTGACATTTAATTTCATAAATTATAATATTATTAATAATATTAAATGATTATTTAATATAAATAAATTTCAAGAATCTCACAAATATATTTTGCTTAATACACTTTTCACCAATAACTTTCAATCAACATAACAATACATAATATTTATTCATTAATTTAGCAGATAATAATATATAACATTCAACTGTTACCAACTCGTAATGGACTACCATAGAATCATTATAAACCGTTGCATTCAAATATTACAATATAATCATAGAGCAAATGTTCTTTATACTGCTTTAGTATTGTACAGATCAAACTGACTCTACAATTATCTGTCAAAAATTATTAAAATTACCAAAATTATAATATTTTGGCTATAAATTGAGATTTTTAATATAGCCTAACGCATATGTGGGGGGTCCATATGCACACGGTGAGCAAAACCAATTTAAAATCGGTTCAGTACTTTAGGCGTCCTATATATATAGGTTGTCGATGAGCATTCGGATACTGAAAACCGCGGCAATAATATATTAAAATCTTGAAACACTAAATGTGCCAATTTAATTAAATCGAATCAGTTTTACTTTAGGTTGCCTCTTTTAAAGTCTATTAAGGGACATTAATATCTGGCGTGCTTTGCAGTGTTTAAAATTTTGCATATGTTTATTTAACATTGTTTTGTATTGATCTTTATTTTTTGAATTATAATTATGTTGAAAATATATATTGTGAACTCTCTCCAATATAGAATTTTTCTCAATTATTAGAATTCACTTTGTAAACGGAGTCAACAATTCTGTTATGTGGGGTTTGTAATTTTAAAAGAATTAAAGTATTCATAAATTGGGTAATAATAAAATGAATTTAAAGTATTAATAAATTTGGAAACTCAAGGAAAGAGAGTTTTCAATATATATCTAAGAGAATGCTTCAACATAATTATAATTAAAAAAATAAAAATCAATACAAAACAATGTTAACAATCTAGATTCAGCAAACCTTCTTAGGTCAACATTTTGTTCAATATATAAAATAATGGGATTGTTTAAATCAAAAGTGCCATTGTTTAAAATTTTGCATATGTTCAGAAAACATAACAGAAAGCAGTTGTTTTCAGTTTTTTGAATTCACAATTCTTAAATAAGAGAAGTTCTTCTTCTTTGCTTTGTGGCAGCTATCAAATTTAATTAACGTATGTAAGTCTGATTTTTTAAATTTTTGAGCAATTTTTTACCACTTGATAATTTCATTTTTTCTTCTTTTTCAGAATTCGAAATATTTTGATTACTTGATTTCACTTTTAAAATTCTATATAATATATATATATATAATATATATATATATATATACAGGGCCGGTCCTGCCTTGCACGCGATGCATGCAAAAAATGCGGGCGCACGCCTAAGGGGGCGCCAAAACGAGATTCGAAAATGAAATTTATAATATATTATTATTTTTCTTATAATTTTTTTAAATTGTTTGTAATAAACAATCTAACTTAACTATGGATACGGAGACACAAAAAGCATATTCAGTTTGCAATGTGATATCAGTAGAAACAATTAACCGATTATTAACTCTACAAGTTAGCAAATTATTGTTCTGCTTATTGTTTAATATACTTATTACATTTCTTCTTCATTTGAAGTTAACGTGAAATCGAAAAAAAAATTATCTAGTGTTCATCCCCTAAGCGCAAACCTACGAAAGTTCAAATTAATTAATGGGCGTTATTGATGAAAAATTGCGAGCTGATTTATTTGAAACGGTACTTATTAAAGAAATATATACTAATTATAATAGAAAAATAGAAAATGGGGAGTCAGTGCTTAGAAAATGGATTGTTTATTCCGAGAAATTGAATTGTAACTTTTGTTTTTGTTTCAAATGTTTCGCATCTGATGAACTTTGAACGTTGAAGACATGCGTGGTTAGTGTTATGAAAAAATCCAAAAATGGCTTTAGAACAAAAATTGTTGAGCTTTTTTCATACCTAGTGGTGCCCATACTTTAAATTTAATTATTAACTATGCAAAAATAATACAGATACAAATACAATCAGTTTTTTTTTCAATATTCAGGAAATATGTGATTTCTTTGCATCTTTTACTGATCTTTGGACAATACTTTTAAAATTCGTTAAAAATTTAACTTTAAAACAACAATCTGATACTCTGAATCTATTGATGAATCACTTTTTTCAACAGTTAATTACAAGAAAACGGCTCGGTACATTTTCACCTACAATTAATCAGCATCATTTCCAAATGATATCTTTCGAACAGTTTTGATTTTTCAAAATCGGTTCGGTAGGATGAGCTTAAATGTGGACGAAAATTTACACTTTTTTTCAACAGTTATTACAAGAAACGGCTCGGTAGATTTTCACCTAAAATTAATCAGCATCATTCTCAAATGATATCTTTCGAACAGTTTTTGATTTTTTAAAAATCGGTTGTAGGATGAGCTTAAATGTGGGCGAAATTTTTAACACTTTTTTTCAACAGTTAATTACCAAGAAACGGCTCGGTAGATTTTCACCTAAAATTATCAGCATCATTCCCAACTAATAATATCTTTCGAACAGTTTTTGATTTTTTAAAATCGGTTCGGTAGGATGAGCTTAAATGTGGACGAAAAGTTCAACACTTTTTTCAAATTACGAAAAACGGCTTGGCAGATCGTTGCACAAAACTGACTGATAATTTTAGCAAAGTTTGACGAATTTTTAAAATTAAAACTACTTGTTGTAAGGCCGTAATATAACAGTAAGTTCTATAAGACCATGATGTATATCGCCAAAAAAAGTTCATGAAAAAACGGCTTAAATTTTTTTTTAACAGTTAATTACAAGAAAACGGCTCGGTAGATTTTCACCTAAAATTAATCAGTACCATTCCCATCTAAATCTTTCGAACAGTTTTTGATTTTCAAAATCGGTTCGGTAGGATGAGCTTAAGTGTGGACGAAAATTTAACACTTTTTTTCAACATTTAATTACAAGAAAACGGCTCGGTAGATTTTCACCTAAAATTAATCAGCATCATTCTCAAATGATATCTTTCGAACAGTTTTGATTTTTCAAAATCGGTTCGGTAGGATGAGCTTAAATGTGGACAAAAATTAACTCTTTTTTCAACAGTTAATTACAAGAGAAACGGTCGGTAGATTTTCACCTAAAATTAATCAGCATCATTCCCAAATGATATCTTTCGAACAATTTTGATTTTTTAAAATCGGTTCGGTAGGATGAGCTTAAATGTGGACGAAAATTTAACACTTTTTTTCAACATTTAATTACAAGAAAACGGCTCGGTAGATTTTCAACTAAAATTAATCAGCATCATTTCCAAATGATATCTTTCAAACAGTTTTGATTTTTAAATCGGTTCGGTAGGATGAGCTTAAATGTGGACGAAAATTTAACACCTTTTTTCAACAGTTAATTACAAGAAAACGGCTCGGTAGATTTTCACCTAAAATTAATCAGCATCATTTCCAAATGATATCTTTCGAACAGTTTTTGATTTTTCAAAATCGGTTCGTAGGATGAGCTTAAATGTGGACGAAAATTTAACACTTTTTTCAACAGTTAATTACAAGAAAACGGCTCGGTAGATTTTCACCTAAATTAATCAGCATCATTCTCAAATGATATCTTTCGAACAGCTTTTGATTTTTTAAAATCGGTTCGGTAGGATGAGCTTAAATGTGGGCGAAATTTAACACTTTTTTTTCAACAGTTAATTACAAGAAAACGGCTCGGTAGATTTTCACCTAAAATTAATCAGCATCATTCCAACTAATATCTTTCGAACAGTTTTTGTTTTTTTAAAATCGGTTCGGTAGGATGAGCTTAAATGTGGACGAAAAGTTCAACACTTTTTTTCAAATTACGAAGAAGAAACGGCTTGGCAGATCGTTGCACAAAACTGATAAACGATAGTCCTCACCGAAATACATCAAATGGCTTTTAAATTTCTAAAATCGGTTCAGGCGTTTTTGAGAAAACGTCGATCAAAAGTCTAATTTTGACAAATGCCAAAAAGGCCATACTGATTTTGGCAAACTTTGACGAATTTTTAAAGCTGAATCAGTTGTCGTAGGGCCGTAATATTTTAGTATGACCTAGAAAACTATGGTATCTTTCGTCAAAAAAATAATCATAAAAATCGTCAAAATTT